AGTGAGTTCCTTTGTGTCCTCCAGGATCTTCTGCTTTTCCTGCTCTTTATCCACCACACGCTTCTGCAGATCATGACTAATGGCAAAGAGATGTAACTTAAATATAAAAGAAAGGCACCAGAAAAGAGTCATGCTTATGAAGGTTAAACTTTTTTTATTGCATAAATGTAACATATTTTTTTCTTTTTATGCTACTGTTGGATCTGTATTAAATGTAATGAGGTTATTATATTGTTTGATTCATAATGTACAGAACAGAGAGAATATGCTGGTGCACTCACACATAATATTGGCAAAGCTGACCCTTGTGTTTGAAAATGTCATTCTCCAGAGTGAGGAACTCCACAGCCTTGTTTCTTTCTCCCTCCAATGCATTCTTCTCCTTTTCCACTAGCTTCACTCGGTTTAGCTAGGACAGTTAACAGATTGCAAAACTTAATATCAGGTGACAGAACAGTCACAATTTATAAACAGTAGTCCCATGTTTAAAAAATATATATATAAAATTAATAACATTATAAAACTATTAGAGATTGTCCCCTAATTATTTATTATCAATATAACTTTGTACCTTGTTACTTACAGTAACAATAGTATAATAAAATGAAAGAAAAAATAAAATAAAATAGAGTCATACTAAGACAGCATTATCTTCAGAATTACATGTCCACGCACTAAAGGTTTCCTAAGAAAATCAATGAATCATGTCTGGGACAGTTGGCCTCGCAAAGTACTAACTTATCTTACATACTGCAGTTACATGATAACAAAAACTAGTAATTTTCATCACAGATGTGCATCAAAAACTTTCAAACATATTCTCACACAAAAGAAAACCTCTACATACTCTGAAACTCTTCTGTACAATGCAAATAAAGTTAGGACACAGGTCAGCTTTTGAATATGTAAGCAGATTTTGTATTAGCGTATGTCACCTTCTCTCCTCTCTGCTCATTGAGCAGCTCAATGCGGCGGGCCAGGGTTTGGATGGGCTCCTTCAGGCGGCAGGAGCCGATAATGTCCTCCAGGTACTCCAGCATGCCCTCATCATGCTCTGTCTGACCTTTAGGCTTCATCATAGCAATCTGCTCCACCTCACCCTAAGTACAGTCCAGACCCAGGGACAGACATACATGCAGTCATTTATAGAAAACACAGAGCTGCAATAACTCTTCAACTCCACACACAGTCATGTACTGTGTACCATACATACATTTTTTACAGGTTCACTGTGAGAACAACACAAATTATTTTTCCACACAGAGAAAGTAAGACAACAAAAAGATTGATTAAAATTTTTAAAAGCTAACAAACATCCCAAAAATATGAATTATGATTTAATCTGATAAATAAGTAAATAGTGTAATCACATGTGTTAAATATGCTTTGGATAACTTAGAAATAAGTAATAACACATTATAGCCTCACCACTCTGCCTAAACAAAAACTACT